ATGCACGGCTACCACTGAAACAACATACCATCCAGGCCCTCGCCCCCAGAGGTCTGCCTGGCCCAGAGGAGGGCCAGTGACAGGAAGCTGGGCGCTGAGCCTGGGGTGGAGGAGGGGGGCAACTTGGTCAATTCATCCTTCAGCCCCCAAATTTCACTTTACTGAACACTTGCCTGAGTGAGAACAGAAACTGACAAAATGTCACAACATTTCTAGAAGGCACTGGCAACACTTAGCAAGTTTAAAATGTGAACATTCTGACCCTGTAATTCCAACCTATGAAATTATTCTATGGCACTAACAGGGTGACCACACCAAAATACATACACAAGGATGTTGTTTATCACGTTAAAAACAAAAAATGGAAACAAACTCATGCCCTTCAATATGGGATTATTGGCCAAATTTTGGTACGGCCAGACAATAAAATATGCATTATTAAGAGGATGTGATCTATCTCTATAGACTGATATAGAGCTACGCCCACAATATATTTTTTAAGTTATGACAGTATAAATAGTACCATCCCATTTGTATTTTTAAAATATGTTTTTTTAAAAAAACTCACAAACGTAAGTTCCAGATTGTGACAACATGACATCCCCTGAGACTTTCTAAACTTTAAATCAGGAGAGGCCCAAAAATAACAGGAAAAGCTAGCACAGCACTTCCGGAGATAGACTTGTGGTGACCACGTGTACAGATTATTTAAGAATGACTTAACTTAGAGCAGTAGTTCTCAAAGTGTGGCCTCTGAGCCAGCAGTATCAACATCACCTGGCAACTGGTTAGAATGCAAACTCTCAGCCCCACCCCAGACCTACTGCAGCAGGAATCTGGGGCGTGGGGTCCCCCAGAGGAATGAGGCCCACAAAAGCTTGAGAATCCCCAACCTGGACACCTGGAAACAGTCCTTGAACTAGGGGATAATCTGTCACTTCAGAGTCACTGTGCCGAAAGACTCCTGTGTGTCAGGTGGGGTTTCTCAGGAAGGGAATGAAGGAGGTCTTAGATTGCAGTGAAGAAAAAGAAAAAAAAAGTCTCCTAGGCTCTCTGAGGCCAAGACTCAATTTGGCAGGGCCCCTACACATGGCAATTGTAAACGCCGCTAGGTAGAATTAAGGTAGCCAACAGCGAGGCAGAGGCCGGGCAAGGAGGGGTCGGAGGACGGACCTGGGCCTCAGCAGCAATATTCTCTGAGCCTCACTCTCTTGTTCCTATCATCCTCAGAGCTCCAGAGAAATCTCATGAAAAGTAATTCTGGTCTCAGCTGTTCTGTGGGAAACCATGGAAGGTCACAGAACAAGGGAGTGGAAGGAAAAGCAGTGTCCATCCCCACTCAGGCCAGAAAGAGGGGAGCAGCCTTGCCAGGTTAGCGGGGGAGATGCACCCAGACAAGGGCGACCTCACAGATGTCACCAACGAAAAGGGTGCAGTGTGGTGGCGGGGGAGAAGGCCAGAGCCGAAGGACCCCAAGTGCACTTGAGCCGGTGCCCTGGGAAATGCTCGGGAAAAGCTGGAGGAGAGACACTGGGCAGGCCTCAAGGAATGGGAAAAAGGGAGCAACTTCTAGAAGTTAAGCTGGAGAGGGTCGTGTTGTCACAATCCGGGACTTACCAAGAAAAATGGGGAGATCTGGAAACCTAGATCTGAAAGATGGAACAGTCTTTTAGGACTTCCCTTCAAAGCACTTATCACAATTTTATCTTACATTTACTTGTGTGATCATTTAATTGTTTTTCTCCCTATCTAGACTTTAAGCTTCATGAAGGCAGGAATGTGTTTTCATTCACCACTATACCCCCAGCTCCTAGATAGACAGCACATAGTAGGTACCCAAAAATATAGGTTGGACAAATAAACAACTTAAAACACTCTGGAGTGTTTGATTACTCTTTCTCTGTATTGTTGACTTTTTTTTTTTTTTGCCAAAAAAGTATATCATCATATGAAATTATGTCACCAAGAAGTATATTATCAAAGAAAGCTATTTCCTTTTTGGAAAGAAAAAAAGAGTCATCTCACAAATACAGTGCTGTGGCTTTAGTCTGTGAGTTGTAAACACTCGCTGAGAAAGGCAAGAGAATGCAGGTAAAAAGTATGATGTATTTCACTGGAAATACACAGAAATACACCCAACAGTGGTCATCGGTGATGTCCAGCTTGATGCCCTTAGACACTGCAACATCCCAGAGGGACCTGGTAATCAAAGGTTAATTTTGTGCAGAGGACTTTTAGCACGAAGTGCTCCCATGGCATCACGATTCAATGAAAACTGCCCATCACATATGATAAAACAGCACATGCTACCACGCATCTACAACACAGAGTCATCCTACCAGGGACCGTGGACACATGAGACCCACCCGCCCTCTGAGGGCAGGGAACCCCAGTCACTCTCAGATCTGAGAGCGTGGCTGAGGGGCAGAAAGTGCAGGCTATTTCAGAGGGGACTGCAGAAATAGGGACAATAAATTGAGAATTTTAGCAAATAATCCCCAGCCCCCTAGCCTAGGAAGCTTCCCCTGACCTGCAGAGAAGTTACAAAATTACATTTTTATAAACAAACACTTGGCATCTTTTACTTCAAGCAGCAACAGGGCCTCTGCTCATTTTAATTAAAGTGGTTGTAGCATCGAGGGTCAGCAGCCCATCTAGCGCCTAGCTCTTGGGGCTGCGTGTCACGGTACTTAACGTGCCCTGTGCACAGGGAGGGATTAATCCTCCGGCAGATGCGACAGAGAGAGGCCTGGCCACAGTCCGCAGCAGAGCTTCCTCAGCCACCGCACTTCTGTCTCAGCATCTCTGCAGCCCGGCCACCACCCAACGCCTCGCACTTCGGTTTGGATGTTGACCTCACACGAAACTCCTCCGGATAAAAGGAATGGGGAGTGCCTCCCTGCCTGCCCACCCTGTGCCTTCCCTCATTCCCCTCGAACTCAGGGTCAGACCTCTGAGGAAGCAGATGCTTATCTGGGAAGAGTCCAGCGGTCAGTCGAAAGAGAGGACTCCCGCCTCCCTCCCTGAAAGGGCTTTCGGAGGGAGCTCGGACACTCTGCCTCGGCGTGCAGGGGCTGTGTAATTGCCGGGCTGACCCTCTGGAGCCGCCTGCCCTGGTCACCTTTCATGATAATGCCTGGTGCAGCCTCATCATGAAATGTGCTTATTAATCTTACTCATTTGACACTGCGCTCTTCTGCCCTGAGCTAGATGTTAGGAGAAAATGATAGGGATAGATTCTACTCCTGTCAGACTTACCAAGACTTTCAGAAAACCAGACTATCAAAGGCCATCTGTCGCCCACTAGCCAAGCATTCACGGTGACCCCGAAGGTACAAGCAGAATGTTAAATACACAGATCCGCAAGAGGGAACAGCGAGAAGACCTGGGCCACACCCCAGGCACCCCCCGCCCCCAGAGAGCCGCCGCGGAGCCAGTCCTCCCAGAGATGGCACGTACCAAGCCCCTGACCTGATTCATGCCTCACTGCTTCATATCTAATTCATCAAAAGACACTTGGGCTTCTCAAATCAGGAACATTTTTACTAGCTCCCCCAGGACTTTTATGGCACAAAGCCATACCTAATGATTCTATTTTATGGCAAGTTATACATTCAAACAGTGCTCTGAAGTCAGGCAGCAGGTAAGACTCAAATCTTTGTCAAAAAAGATTCCCCCGTTCTTTCACTTTTAAAATGTTTATAAGCTTTCAAACAGTTGGGAAAGTGATGTGGAGCATTTTAACAGGCTCCCCCTTCTCACACAGGGCCTGGCATGGGCTGACGCAAAGTGCACTGCACTGTTCGCAACGGGAGCTGATTTCACCTGCCCACCTCCTCCGCCTGGGGACACCTGACAATGTCTGGACACAGTTTTCGTTGTCACGACTCGGGGGTTTGGGCTATTGGCATCTAGTAGGAAGAGGCCAGAGATGCTGCCCGACTACACGCTATTTTCTGATCATCTGGCCCAAAATGTCAGTAGTGCCGAGGTTGAGAAACCCTGCCTTTGGGCTTCTTCTGGACTAGGCATGGCATCCCTCCCACCCCTGGGACATCAGACACTGATCTAATCACTGTGCCAGGTTTTCAGTGCTGGCTAATGAGACTTGTATTCTTTTATGTATTCTTGGTGCACATTTTCAATGAGCAAGAATAAAAGGTCATCATAAACAAAATGAGGAAAGTGAAAATAAGACCACCTTAGAAGCTCAGAACACATGACAACAGTCACTGTTAACTAAACCCTCCCAACAGTTCCTCTGCACTTTTTAAGCTTCACTCAAAACGGAATTTACCTACTGAAAAAACAAAATAACCAGTTCCAGCCATCGGTACTACTGAACACCACCACAGGTGTCTGCTGAAAAGCAAAGCAAGTTCTCTGCTATACTGCGGTGATGTGGTCAGTGACAGCCCTGGACTTGGGAGGGGGTCTGGTCCTGATTCACCACTCCCAAGGGCTGGGGCTCCGTCACTTCCCTTCTCAGAGCTTGAGTTCTCCTGATCAGCACAGTGGAGAGAAAGCAACTTCCCCTCCCAGCCTCCAGGGAATCATGAGAGCCAAATGAGTTCATGGGTAGGAAACTGCTTTGTAAACCGTAAGGGGCTATGTAAACATACGTCAATAAATTTATGACATTTATACACGTAGGACAATCTGTGACAGCAAACCAAGGGTCTTTCAGACTCGTGGATCCTTTTCATGAAATGTCACAGCTAGAAATGACTTTGGAAATCAACTAATCCAACCCTTTAATTTTACGGAATGTGAAGATGACCATTACAGAGGTCAAGTGACCCAGCTAAGGCCGTGAAACAGCCCAGACGGGCTCAGGTCATCTACTCCCAAAGCAGGGCGCTCCCCACGCCTTCCCATTGGTGACGTTTTCCCTCCCTGCTTCAAGTTCCTAGAGAGAAGAAGCACATCTTACACACAGGGCTCAGGGGGCCTTGAACACAGGAGATAACTATTTGCCGAATCAGCGAATCTTGACTTACTACGTCGTAGCCTGTCGGGGCTCGGTTCCGAGAAGCCACCACCCCCACGCCCGTGATGGGATCCATTGACGTCTCTGGCAAGGCTTCTGAAAGGTCTCTGACTTCAGGCATGGCGGATTGCTCCTGGTTCCAAAAAGGAAAAAGAAAGCGTACAATTCAAACGGAGCATTTAAAGTGAACGATGTAAAGTCTCGCACAGACAGAACCAGCGTCTTGGGGCAAATATCCTGAACTAAGCTCCACGTACCTGGACTGGCTAAGGGAGCCCTGGACCCTTTCCTCTGATCAAGAATTCAAGTCGGGCTTCCCTGGTGGCGCAGTGCTTGAGAGTCCGCCTGCCGATGCAGGAGACGCGGGTTCGTGCCCCGTTTCGGGAAGATCCCACATGCCGCGGAGCGGCTGGGCCCGTGAGCCATGGCCACTGAGCCTGCGCGTCCGGAGCCTGTGCTCC